GATGTTCCTCTTTTTCGTTTTGGACTGTCATTAAATAGCCGAAAGGGTAGAAAATAACTTGGAGGATAGGGTAACTGGGAAAAAGAAAATTACCAAAGAAAAAGAGCTGAGTTCCCCTCTTTCCCATTCCGAGCAGTTTCATTCCTTTTAGACTTTTAATTATACACAGGGTTGCTATCCCCGGGAAAATTGTTTTCAACTCAGCTGGACTGGAAATTGCCGAGAATCCTTTTGTGAGCTTATCCCACCTAGCGGTATAGAAAATTAAATACCTGTATTTTCTGTTTAATAAAGGATACACTATGTGTATATATATGCTTGACGTGTTTTTGTCCTCTTTTCTAGCTTTACGCCAAAATCGTAAATTCTTTCCCTAAAAGAACTTTACGTCTTTTGCCGATTATATTTTATCTTCTCATTGGGTGTGAACGACATGATACACTGCTATATTACAAAAAAGGGGGCTTTCCCGACCCATCCAGCCCTGAATTTATGTTATACCCACACTCGGGAACCTATCGCATAAACATCTCAATCCGGCATAATTCAAACCGGCCTACCTGTTCGCCGTGAAGTCCGTCCCGAAAAGAAAAAGTATTAATTACCTTATGGAGGCCGGTGAAGAACAAAGCGGTCCGGTCGTGATGTATTCGTCTCCATGTCTGATCCGATCTCATGGGAAAGAAACGCCTTGAATTGTCGTTATAACTCTGTTTTAGTACGAACTCAAAACCACTTGACGGGTGTGGACTTTATTAAGTTATTACAGAAGTCTGATAGCCGAATTTATTATGACCGGCCCTGGGAAGGCCAGCTACGGGTAGGGGTGGTCTAAATAATGGGGGTCTGATGATTACATCAACTCTAATGAAAAATAGCTTTTAGCTTGTAAACACTTTATTTTGAGTACAGAAGTTTCAAATGACATTTTTACAAGTATCAAGTTAGAATTTTTACTTAAGTACTTTCAGACATTTATTAAGCGGTGGAAAAGTTATACTGATGTTCAAACCCTAAATAATGAAAAAAATGTATGTGAGGAATTCAGTTATTAAATGTCTATTGAGTATGTTGATGTGTTGATCTGTGAATCTGTGAACACATGTTGAACTCACATGGGTGATTTATTGGGTACGTTTACACTCGCAGGTTTTGAAACATTACGTTTCGGTATTGCGCCATATTCTTTTGCTATCACTTACACTTCTTATCTGTTGCTGCAAAAAATGTTTTAATTTTTTTCTATCCGTCATCAGTTGTTACATACATAAAATAATGACATTTTATTGATTATATTTAAATGAAAAAAGAAATTGTTTCTGTGGAAGCTGCTCACTTCAGGCTGACTTAAGCAGTTGTCCATAACTTGCTTTAGTATTTTTATTACGTGTGGTGTTAAGTGACTGTTAATGAATGATTGTTCGGAGATCTTGAGATTGGTCTGGTGAGACGTAAGTTTTAGAAAAACATTTTCTTTATCATGCCAACGTTTCGATCTTTATTGAGATCATCTTCAGGGCCTAGAATATATAAGCATTGTTTAAATTTTACAAATCCATGTAGGATGTGCAAAAAAATGAATCTATTCAATGCTAGAAAATTTTAGATTCAATCAAAGTATTTGTACTCTCTCAAAGTGTTTGTTTTCCGTGTAGATGTGTCTTTCTTGTGTGTCGTGTTGAGAGTGCCAGTGAGATATTTTTTTAAACTAACATTTTCTAGCATTGAATAAATTCATTTTTTTCCGCATCCTACATGTAGTTGTAAAATTTAAACAGTGTTTATAAATCCCAGGCCCTGAAGATGATCTCAATAAAGATCGAAACGTTGGCACGATAAAGAAAATATTTTTCTGAAACCTATGTCACACCAGACCGCATCTCACGATCTCCGAATAATTAATTTTATTACTTTCATTTTTTCTTTTGTAAAAAAATAATATATATCATTATTACCAGATCTATTTACAATGAAAGAGACACACTATAATTGTTCACTCCTAAATACAATACTTCTTCATTCTGTTGTTTATGTTGTAGTATTTAGGTCTTTTGGCTTACTGTGTGTGTAGGATTCTGTGAACTCAAGTTTCTTTAATAAAATCGTATGAGATAAGGTCTGGTTTTATGTTTGTTCGCCTGAAAAAAAATTATTGGTACTGATTATTCATATTGTTAATTAGTTATCAACATAATAATTCTAAAACCCATGATTTTGAGCCGGGGAAATGTTTTCGTCCCTCTGAGAAACGTGACTCTCATTTTTGAGCTGTAATAATAATGGAACTCAACTAATAATACATTAAACTGTGTAAATCATACTTTGAAGCGATCAAATTTATTTGCAAATGTCTGACCGCATCTCAATCTCCAATAATTATTTACAAAATGCATTCAATGTTAATTCCAATGTTAATCTTGAATAATATAAAATAAAACCCCTCACATCGAAATATAGCCATCTTGGTTTATTCTACATCGTTTTCATGGCCAGCCGGGCCACTGATTTATAGAACAGGTAAGAATCGTACATTATGGAACAACCGGCTAGATAATGCCATATTCAAAACTTGTCGTGAGAGGACATTAAGGGTGATTTATTCTTCGCCTCGCTCGAAATCAAACAATAAAAAAACAAGTGCACGATTTATTTAAATATTTCCTCCCTTTAATTTTTTTAAACCAAGGCCCCCGTTTCACTTTTTTTATTTATTAGGCCCTTTTTTTCCGTCGTTTCTCATACAGAACGAGCCCGATAGGAAACCTGAGAGCTGAATATAAAGTACAGTTAATGGTTTTGGCCGTGGTCCGAAATCCGAGGATTTTTGTCCTCGAAAAAGGAGATGTGTCCCGACGAATTTTCGCTTTGTTTTTCAGACTAATTAATAAAATGCCTCCTGGGGAGCGAAAAGCTCGCAAAGAGAGCTGGGGAAAAAGGGTAGACACAATTAAGCCCTCCCAGAGTTGGATTCTCGCCCTTTGTCATGGTTGCACCCATTTCTTTCTTCTGTATGTGATTTAAAGGCTATTGTGTTTTCGCCATAGGATCGTCCTTAGAAGAAAATCTTTCTTTCCCTACATCTGTGGGACAGAAAGAAGAAAGGACGAATTCCTCCCTGTATTCTCAGGTTCTTAGAAAAAATGTGATTTGATCAGTAAAAAAGTTCTTTTTTACTCTTACAATCGAATTTTTTGCACAATTTTATACTCCCAATGAAGGAGAGGTAAAATAAAAAAATTGCTCCCGAAGTACCTCATCTTCTCCATTTAAAAAAAAAAAAAAAAAAATTATATATATATATATATGAATAGAACTTAAATACAAAGTGAGGCAGAGTGTAAGATTATGTAAAAATATAGTACATTTAACAGATACAAATAGGGAAGCAATAATATTAATGTTATAATAAGTAAGTAGTAAAATACTTTTTAAAAATAGGTTAGTAAGTTTTTAGACAAACCAGATTGATCTAGAAAATTATAATCTGAACTAACTTACTAATAAAATTATAATCACCATCAGAATCGCCATGTCTTCCACAGGAATGTGTTTAATGGTCATCCAAAGGTCAATTTTGGGTCAAGAGTAAATTTAATCGCAAGATTCAACAGCAGTATGCGACCAGTCAAAAATTGTGATTTAACTCAAAGTCAAATTAATATTAAACGAAATTTAACTAGACCGGGTTTAGTCGTACTGGAACGCATAAGTCATCGGGTTGTCAATTAAGTCCTGCCTTTTGAGGGCCAATTGGTTATTTTTTCTGAATTGTAAGTCGCTTTTTCTGCATTCCTTTTTTCGAAAGACTGCCTAGAGTTTAGCTTAAGTTACTCTGGAATTCCGGGTAATGGGCAAACACTCCTCTAGCCAGAGTTTGAATTTATTTTTAATTAAACTCCCTTTACTGTAGGAGAGTAAATAGCTTTTATCTGAATCGTAAATTTCAAAGAGTTGGCTGCGGGATTTCCAAGTTGCTTGCATCTCCCTTACTGCGGTATTTTCTCATTTAAACTTCTCTAACAACCACGGACAATTCTCTGTATAGCAATAAGTGTGGATTGTTCTAAAAGGAATATAAACTCGTTCGTTAGCTGTATACTTGTAGAAAAACACTTTGATCATGTTCAAAAGAAACAATTGTCAAATCCCTCGTCTGATAAAATTAAATAAATAAATGAACTAGCCAAAACACACATACGACAACGCACACCATAACATTAATTTCAATAAATTTGTAGAAAAATGATGTACACATTTGTCGTTAAAATAATCCAAACTGCCATGAAAAATGAATGATAATTTCACAAATCGTTATATAATAGTTCATTTTTTCTACACTACAGCCAGCAGATTTTATAAGACCTTATCCATTAATTGAAACGAATTAATTTTTATTCTCTTGATCAATTCTAGCTATATTAAAAATTGATATTATTTATTAATTATTATGATATAACCTATATGGCAATAAATTATTTGTAGGGATTCATTGCTCATGTAATGTTCGGGAAGATAAAACAAATCATGAATAGGATAAACATATTTTTACGTTTCGGATTATCCGTCTTTATATCTTTGTTCATTTTGCCATTGACTTTTCCCATTTAGCCGACTTCGGTGGATAGTTCTGTGTTATCGTTATTTATTGGTAATGTACTTTCTGGACAGGACTGGAATCTTCTGGAAAGGTACCATGGAATACTCACTGTGCCTAAATACTCGCTGTACAAAAATCTCAATAAACTGTGATTTTGATCTGTCTGTTGTGGTTTTGGAAGCGACAAAAGAGAAGAAATATCGTTGCAACCGGAGAATATCCCCTAGAGAACAAATGATAACTGAAATTTTATCCTCACCAACGTACAGTAAAAAATTAAGAGTTAATTTATATATATATATATATATATATATATATATATATATATATCGTTCTTTCTGCGTTAACGATGTAGGTAAGATTTATTTATAAGTATGAATGGCGTGCTGTAGATAGNGTGCCGCTTCACCGCCAACTCCAATTCTCGATACTAACAAATAACAATCTAATCGATACTGCAATGTGCTGTCAAGGAAAATCTATGGTGGTGACGCAGTTATTGGAGTATTGATATAATTCTCAACAGTACTAGACACATTTCTATACTTCGCCTTCTTTAGTGTTGGGTCTGTGCGATTTTTCTGTAGTCAGTCTCTTTTATAAGATGGTGAGGGTGAGGTGCATGTGTCGGAGTTATCATTGTTGCGGTATCTTTGATGGGGTAGGTATGGGGTTTTTATTGTTCCAATCGGTCTTTGATCGTCGGTCCTTTCTTTTTGTATTTAAAGTGTTGATACTTCCTTGTCTATATTGTTGAGGGCTCATGATAGTTTATTGAGTTAAGCGCAATAGTTTATTATTGCCATTGTCCTTAAACGATCTTATTTATTCTCCTTTGCAATCTGTCATTTATTTTTCGTCTTGTTTAATGTATAATGTATATTTTTTTAGCCAGGTTTGTTTTGTAGTTTTCCGATTGTGTTGGTGTTATTTAATGCTGTTTCTTATTGCTAAGCAGAAATTAAACAATGAAAGTTTCAGTTCTTTAGAAAAAGTTTACTTAATTTACAATCATTTCAGTCAATTTTGGATTTCATATGAATTCTAAAAACTCAGTTGTAATTAACATTACACTTATTTCAAATATACTGAACTTGGCAATAAAACATTTTTTGCATTGATAGTGCGGAAATATTTAAAAAAATAAAATGAGTACATACAGAATTAAGTTTATAACAATCATAATAATGACAATACTATCGACCAGCACAATTCGAATACCCTTTTATACAACAATAAGATAATCTTTAAATTGAAAGAAATTAGGATCCCCCGGGAGCCGTTTCCTGGTGGCCGTGCTATCGGCCCAAGGGTAAAAGAGCGTGTGATGTAGGGGTGGAAGGGGAATTTTGTGAGACGGGCTGAGAGGGGGTTGATTTATTTGCCCTGGAACGGCGGCCATAACCCTCGGTTGCCATGGCGACATCCAATCACCTCCAGAGCTTAACATCCACCCCCACCCAAAACAGTTCAACCCCCTTGGAAGCATCACTCATTCCCTATCTTTCTTCCTTATCTCCTTCTTATCCCTCCGGGAGGCGGCGAAGGAGCCGGGACCGATTAAAAATCCACAGGAGGCCTCTGGATTTCTACCAGCCAAGAAAGAGCTGTTATCTTCTTCCCTGAGGAGAAAAAATCGTATTAATTACATATTTACATAATTTGGTTGTTCACTACAAGCATAACTTTACAATTTGTAACAAAAATTTGTTTGAACTCAATTATTATTATAATAAACAACACATCAAAACAATATGATTAAATTTCAAATAACTTTCTAGATTTACAAGTTCTTTGTCTTAATTTTGAGCTTTCTTACTCACTCCCTCTCTCTCACTCTTTCTCCCTCCCTCTCACCCTCTCTTTTCCTCCCCTCTCTTCCTCCTTCTTTCTCTATCTCTCTCACTGCTCTTTATACTTTCTCTCAACTTCATATTCAATACTTTCTCTCTCTCCCTCCCACCCCCTCCAATCACACTCTCTCTCTCTCTCTTCCTCTCCCTTCCTCACTCTCACTCCTTTCTCTCAACCGAACACTCAACACACTCTCTCTCTCTCTCTCTCTCTCTCTCTCTCTCTCTCTCTCTCTCTGTGTCTCTCTCTCTCTGTCTCTCTCTCTCCCCTCCCTCTCACAGTCTGTTTGTCTGTCTGTCCCTCCCTCCCTCTCTCTCTCTCTCTCTCACTCTCTCTCTCTCTCTCTCTCATCCCCTCCTCTCTCATCCCTCCTCTCTCTCTCTCCCCCTCTGCCTTCCTCACTGTTTCTCCATTTCTACCCCTTTCTCTCAACCTCATTTTCAACACGTTCTCTCTCTCCCTCTAACCCTTCTCACCCTCTCCTTTTCTATCCCTCTCACTACTCTTTATAATTTCCCTCAACCTCATACTGAACACTTTTCTCTTTAATTATTTCTCCCTCTCTCACTCTCTTGTCTCTGTCACTCTTCTCTCTCTTTCTCTCTCATTTGAACACTTCTTGGAGCAGCTTGAATTATATTGATAGATTGATTTATATATGCTCAATTCTGCCCATATATGCACATGCATATGTGCTATGTGACTACACTACTTAATATTTTGCCGTCAACGCTCTTGTACTACGAACACATTCATTCTAATAATTACATTCTCACTAAACATTTAACACAAAATGTATCTATCATCACATCTTTTATATATTACATTTATAAAATTAACTAGTTATGTTGAGCTCGACATACAGTTAACAATTAAGTTGAAAACGTTCAAAAATGCCCCTGTTTCTTCAAAAAATCGGATCAGGGAACCCAAAGTATGGACATTTGATTTTTCTTCATTTCCAATAGACTGTTTACACTTGCCTTTTATATAAATTGGAACGTTTATAGGCCGACAAGAAAATATTAAGATTCTTTAATTTTTATTAAAAATCAAGGATACAGTCTATTTGAAATAAAATACTTTTGTCCATTGTGTGTTTTTTTTTCAATATTAAATTGTCAACTGAAGGTATATATTATCTCAAAGATAATTCATATTCTATATAAAAAGAAATTAAAAAAATAAGTTGTATTTATACATTATTACATAGCATTATGAGCTTAGATTTATTAAAAAATATAACAACGTTTTTCTGTACCCTCCTGTTTGGTTTTGTTATTGGGAACGATAGATGTATTTTCTTCTGCTTTCTAAGAAGATAACGTCCTGAATGTGAAACGTGGTGAATAAACGTTTTCGAGCTCTGTCACCTGGGGTCACTGGGGTGAGCATGACAGTATGATTTACGAGCCACCCTTCTCAAAGTTGGGATCCTGGACAATGAGGGCATATGTGCGAAAAAAATAACGTGCTCGATTTTAGTAGAGCTTACTCTTTGCAGAGTTGAAAACATGTGAAAATATTTGTAATAGTTGGTTAGTTTTATTAAGAATAATGTATCAATTTTCTCATGTTTAATTACGAATAATTCTACTTTGAATAAATTAATTTTATGTTAAATGTAACAAAATATAAAAAATGCTTTTCTTTAACATATGTAACATACGATTTATTAACAAGAGTTATAGCATCTCGCCAAACTACTTATATTCCCAAGATTGTCCTTTCTGATTAATGGGATTGTCATGCTTAGAAAACCGTGTAATTTTAAAATTTTGCGTTTTGTAATATTTTTGAGTTATTTTTATCCGAAAGGGTTTGTGTTAATAGTTTTTACAGGGGCAAATTTTCATGTATTTTGTGATACTGTAAATCTATCTATAAGTCTACACAGTTTACTCTGGTTTGGTATATTTTAGGTAATTACTTTACGTTAAGTATCTAATTTATAGCAAGTCGTGGCGCTTAATAATAGGGACATTGACATATAAAGAGTGCGTTGATGTCTGAGGGATGAAGACGCTAGATGTTCATTAATCTTCAATATACGAATATCTTAAAATTCTTGTTCAGAAAAAACTTTCCTTTGAGGAATTTTCTGGGAATCCTACTTTGGACATTTTCGTGATTGTCCGCCGGCGTCGTTATAGCTATGGTCGGTATGACTCAAGTAGCACTTCCGACTCGGGGAAGATGGCATTCCCAGGCGATTCAATGTATCGTGGACAAGGCAGGAGATGGCGGACCCCTCTTGTGAAACAATTCAAGCCGCACAAACGAGCCGATGGAAACGTGCCGTCCATGAGTCGGAAGTAACGAATAAAGTACGCGTCTGCCGATGGAAAAATACAGCCTGTCGACTCGGTTAACCATTGTCATCAATGAAAAGGGGTGCGGGTATTATTGAGAAAGATAAAGAAGTGTGTAAATCTATTCCCACATTTATCAACACAGCTGGTGAAAATAATGTATTGTGCATATTGTACGACGTCTGTTCTCTAATTAAGCGTCGTCGCACAATAAAGTGAATTGTGAACCTTCCATACGTCAAACAACAAAAATTTGATATGATGTTTATTGAATGCTGACAGCGTCAATCTGCTAAAACTCCTGACAACGGCGAAGAAGAGCGGACCAGTGGTGATATTTCTGTTGAAACTGCTCGCTCTAATCCATCTACCTTTAACTCCACAAATGAACTGTTACTGTTTAACCAATTTGTCTAAATAGAAGATAGAATTCGAAGAGAAAAATGTTTAGATATCAAAACGACGAATTATAAAAAGGAAATATTTTTGTATAGGTAAATATAATATACAAAACTACATCTCGGACTATCCAGCTCTTGAACTGGTGGTCATCATTTCACCATGATTGATGCCTTCTTTTGACAGCTCATATTAATTCCCTTGTTACAACAGCTGGATGAACTTACTCGATGGCGATCTCCTTCAAATTTGGATAAATTTGCCTCTTCAATAGGTAATAAAGGAATGTAACTGAAGCTCCCTTCGAGTTTTTTGAGTTCCATTTTTTTTTTTTTAATTCCGTGCCAATTCTAGTGCCTATTGATCGATATCTCATTCTCATCCATTAAATATAGGTTCTAAAAATAAAAAAATATTAATATAAACAAATATTAATTAATAATATTGATAAATAATAAGATAAATCTTTCAATTTATACTTCAAATTATATGTGATTGCTTCTGCTTACAAAATTACCTATGCTGGGTTAGGACTGAGTACGAGGGTTGTCAAATTCTGTCATTTAAAACATAGTGTGATGTTTTTGTCTTCAAGCTGCTGTGAAAAAAATGAACAGGGTTAAAAAGTAGATATGGAATATTGTAATAAAATTAAACAGATTTAATATGGTGGCCCAAGTAACAGGGTTACCCTACTCTTCTCCAAGAAAACTATTCCATACAAAATGAAGCATTGTGCTTTGTTCACTGCTTTTACTATTTTATTAATTTGCTTAATTATACAGAACTTAGCAAGCTCATAGGCAAAATCAATTGGTTGCAACCTAAAGAAGTTTTAAGTTGTCTTTAGTTACTTCTAAGCATTTTCAAAATCCTTCGATCAAGCAGGATGCTGTTCAGCAAATGTGCAAGTGGTGATTACTTCCAAATAATTTTGATTCGGTTTTTACACGGAGATATTTGAATTATTTAAGGGTTCGCTGAGCCTTGGGCATTATGCCACTCTACCGGGAGATAAAACAATTGAAGATTAACAACAAAATAGCTACGTGGAAAGTAAGACGGCTTTAAAAGCAATTACCCCATCGCTAAGTCCAGCACGGTTGGGGCTGCATGAAGGACTTGCCAGAATTCGGGGCAAACCACACCTTGTTTGGGTTCCAGGGCATACATGTTCAAAGGACACATATCTGCGGTCTACTCTTTGCGGCATATCGAATTGCCACAAACCTTAGGACAGCCAGATAAGAATAAATGCTCGGTTCAATTGGAATGTATTCCAGGGCAGAGGCTTGCGCAAAAGGTTAATTAAAAATAGCAGAACTATTACACCTAGGACGTGCTGGGTCTTGATTGATAGTAGGACTGCTAACTGGACACTGCAGTTCCTGATACGTATGCACAGATTTGGTGCATTAGAAAGAATCCTGCTTAGATAGTGCCAGGAAGAAGAAGCAGTGAACCATATCATTTGTTAACGCGAAGGCATACCATCCTGAGAGACGAAAAGCCAATGCTTGAAGGATACAAGCGTTAGCCCTTTACAAGATATGGGTTTTGGTAAAAAGCCCTGAGCTTAACGACGAGCTCTACTCAAAACCATAGATTGCACAATACTGCTCGCGGTACGCAATGTTGTAAGTCGGCTTATTTTAACCAAAAAGTTCATTACTTTTACCATGATAACAGAAGGCTTAAAACAATGCAAGTTAGCATGGCTGACGGTTTTAATACCATGCCATAATAATACTGTGTTTTTTATTTTTAACTTTAAATTTTTTCATTTTGTAAATAAAGTATATCTATCTATCTATCTATCTATCAAGTTAGCATAAGCCTAAACATTTCTTAGGGGTTTTTATGCGTGCGATTAAACTTAAAAAAATCTTTTTCAGCCCATATATTTGTATTTAAACATGGTGAATTTGTAGATTTATAATTATAAATTATAATATGCAAGTAATCACAATTTTTGTGGTGTACAATTTGACATAAAATATGTTGGTTGTTTATTGGAAAACGTGGTAAAAAAGACAGTCCAGATTGAACTTTAATGGTCAATTTTATAAGGGTTACAAAATAAACATTTACTTTGAGACTGAACTTTCGAATATTGAAATAGTCTTTTGTTTACGAATTTTTGAAAATATGTTTGACAGTTGCGGTTTATCCGACTGTGGGTGTAGGCGTTTCTTTTTTAGAACAATTCAGAACCCAACCAAGGGAAATACCCACCTGGTCTTGGATGCTGGATCGAGAGGTGGACTGGGAGGGTCGGTTAACAAGAGAGGTGAATCAAGGGATAGTGGCAATAACTGTCAGGTTAATGAGCCCGGCCGGCTCCTGAACGGGATTTTTTATCAGTGTTAATGGCGTTTGTAAGAGGGTGGGTAGATAAGAGTTGTATATAGAGTTTACGTGGGATGGGGTGAAGGATGTCCCAATCTACAGTACATCTTAATGCACTACGGCAAGGTAATGGCCGACCCTAATGGATTCCAGGGGTCAGGGGTTGTGATCCGGCCTGGAGGAAAGGGATTCACGTCCCCCTTCTGTTTTCACAATGGGATCTAAAAGTATAATCAATCGTAACGTATAAATATGTGGGGGTTGAAGATGGTCCTATCTAAATAAAAAAAACGTTATTACCTCTTTAATGAATTAATTTATAGTACTAAAGTTTTTAATTGAGATAAAATCTCCGTTAAATTTTTTTTTTATTAACATGGAAAATTATTCAAACTTGTCGTGTTGACGGACTACTGTAATGCCTCTGTGGATGATTTTTCTACTTCACAACAGCAGAGGTTGTATCAACACTCGGAGTGCCGGTGTTTTTGAAAAAAAACCAAAAACATTTGTAAGTATGTCGGTTTCTAATGCAGGGCCTCTGGGTTCTAACCCGGGACCTTACAGATCATACAGTGATGCGCAGTGTCAACGCCTAAACCGTTGCTGCCACCGACGCCCCCATTTTTCTACTTTGACTTGCAACATTTTACTTACTTTAATTTATTTACTTAGTTGTTTTTCTCAGTAATCTTGGACCAGTACAATATACAGAGAACCGCACATTTGGGGGTCTAGATTATTAGGATGATTGATTCGTTTATTGTCTTTATAAACTCAAATATACAATAAATTGAAATAGAATTATAAATTGGTTTAACCTGGCGACATGTGAAGACGTGAACTTTCCTCTTGTGGTCTGTGTGATATATTGTGACATATGATGAGAATTGCGTCTGTCAGTCCAACCCAGTCATGAACCAATAAGGATCAAATAGACGTGGTAAGTAGCGGGACGTTTAAAACCTCCTATGAAAATAACGAAAGGTAACTTTCCTAGAGATATTAAAATATATAGATTAATTATTAATATTTTATTATTGATTGTTTTATTGATTTTTTTATGCTTTATGCTGTTGTCGATAACATTGATATACTTACCATAGTAGATATTTTCACGATTCTGGTTTTAACCCTGCTAAACCATGTTCGAGAAAAGTTAAACGTTAAGAGTATGTTAAACTAGGTACTTTTTTTGACAAGGGCATCCGACAGCTTGGTCATTTCAGCCCCGAAGCATTAACAAAATTCGGCTACACACTCGATACACAATCACACCAATAAATACATTCATACCTATATACATTGATCGCACTCATACTGTTTGGTAGATGGAGTACTCGATATTCCACCATCTACCTGTTCACTACAATAAACTATTCTAATTTGGGGTCGATGGGGTACTTTAAAAGTTTTCGGCCGTAGACCCAAGTCACGCATGCCACGTGAGGGGCGATGGAGATGCAAGTTCGCCATCAGCTCCTCCCCATTCACACCAATAAATACATTCACTCATACAAGACACAGAAACACAAAACACGTAACTTAACTTCTATATACAATAAAAAATTCCCAATTCCCTTAAAAAGCGGAATAGGGGACCCTGAAACTCGCTGCTGTGTCCGAGAACCCTCTTTAAATCTGGCGGCCGGCCTACTCGCGCCCTGAAGGGAGCCAAGGCACGACACGCTTCGACTATGTGGGACACATGGAGCAACCTTTCTCTGCATAACGGACACCTGGGGGGAATTGGCCCACCATCAAGTGCCCATGTGTCAACCGAGTATGACCTATTCTTAATCTGATTCTTTCTTTTTCCTTTCCTTCTTTATTCCTTCTTTACGGCTCAGATCCTCGGGGGGGGGGCATCTGCAGGTCGTACACTTAACACGAAGGAGCCTCTCGGATAACCCTGCTCACTGACGCTGCCATTTATCCCTTATCATCTTTTTTACAGCTGTTTAGAGTCAGACGGCCTGATCGCGATGGTCCGCTCGGAAGGGGGGTATTTTCGGGTCGATGGGGTATTTTTATAAAATTTACGCCATCAGCCCAAGTCATACACACAACTTGAGAGGCGATGGAGAAGCTACTTTGCCATCAGCCCTTCCCCATTCACACCAATAAATACATTCACTCATACAACACAGAGAAACACAAATTAAACTAGTTACTGTTAGTTAGTTGTTACGTAACAAAGGTGGTCGGCATGAATCAATACGTTTGTTATTTATGTTAAAGTATACTTTTATTATACGAGAAATTCAACCAGTTCATTTATTTTGTTAACTCCTGCCCTATTCTCAATACCTTGAGAAATTAAATATAATAGGATATATACTCATAATAAGGCCATAGGATCTTCATAAATTAATTATGTTTTTGTGGTAGTAATAAAATGGAAAATAAGAGTTATGATAAAAGTTGCTAAAGAGTAAAAAATGTCCAGGAGTTCTAGAGTGGGAATTTGAATGTTGATTAGGTTGGGGATTGTTTGACGCAGGGAAGAACCCTTTCCAACTCACACGGCGGGACGTTAATTGGCTAACCGCTCGGTTAATTGAGTTTTGTTAGGGGCTGAGAGGATTAGATAGAGCCCGGATTAAACCGACTCCTCTTCCGTCAGAGAGGCAGGAGTGGGTGAGGACCGGAGGGCTGGGGAGGATTTACATAATTAGATCCTGTATTTTATCCGGGGGCGGGGGTCGGCCCGAGGTGGGGACAGTCATTTTGAATTGCCTGTTTATTCGCCGCCTCCCGGGCCGACTTGATTTACGGCGGATTATCCTTTCCACCCCCGGCGGCGCGATGACTACTCAAACAGCCCTCCATCCTCTCTCCCGTTGTTCAACCCGGTCATACACCACATCCTCTTTGTTTTAATAAGAAACATTGGTACAAACGCAATGGGTTGTAAAGAAGGATTGAACAAGATATTTATACTTTATGATTATTTTTTATATCTTTATACACTTTTTTGGCCTATCGCTCCTCTCTGTTTTGGTCTGACAGACTGGTTTCCATTTCTCGCGGTATTCAGTCTTGTTATATGCTTTTGATATTTTGTTTTATTTTATTTAATTTTTTATACACTATAGAGGCAACACTGAAAATTGTGGAAAACCGTAAAATGACTGACTGATGATGTAAAGCTGAAAATTAAGTAAGTGTGTAATTGTAAGGATCGGGGTTGTGGTCCAAAGAATGTTCTGTTGTTGAAACTACTGCAAGCTGTCGGTGTTTTATTTCACCTTCTTCAGGGCTTTACAACGGATACATATACATATAATATTTTATAATTGCTCACCGGTGTAAGCGAAAATCAAAAATCAACTTACAGATTCACTGTCCGTGTTTAAAATGTTTTTTTCTTTTCAACATGTATAGATATTTTTCACTGTTTTTATCATTTCTTATACCAATTACAATGTTTTCAATAAATAAATGGCACTTGTTACAAACTATTATCACAGACAAAAATCAACGAAAATAAAGAAGATTAATGACGGTTATTATCAGGTACTTTTATATCTATTTATTATTATGACTTTTTTTTGTGTTTTTGAAAAAAAAAACAACATTTGTAAGTATGTCGAGTTCGAATACAGGGCCGCTAGATTCGAACCCTGGACCTTTACCTTACAGTGATGACCGCCCCCCCCCTAGACGTGTTATTAAAAGCCTTATTTTAAAATTGTAATAAATAAATAAACATTTTTCAAAACATTGCCATGAAAAAACTCACAAATTCAATTTTGATGAAGTAAAAATCATGACACACGAACCTCTCCTTGCCCGTAGACTCATAAAAGAGATGATGTACATTTTTATAGATGAAAACTTACAATCAGATATAAATGGTTTAATTTAATTTACAGTGGGGTTTTAAACGACCAAATAAATAAATGAAGTAAAGTAATCGATGTAGAATTTAATGTTGTTTATTTGTTTAATTTATATAATAAAAGTATTTAGTAGTTTACAGAAATCATAGACTATAGTGATGTAGGTTTCAGAGAAACATTTTCTTTAACGAGCCAACGTTTCGATCTTTATTGAGATCATCTTCAGGGCCTGGGATATACAATTATTTTTAAATTTAACAAATACATATAGGATGTGGAAAAAAGTGAATTTATACAATGCAAAAAATTTTTTTTTATAATCAATCAAATTATTTCTATTCATTCAAAGTGTCTGTTTTCTGCGTACACTACACTTTGAGTGAGTAGAAATACTTTGATTGAATATAAAATTTTTTTGCATTGTATAAATTCACTTTTTTCCACATCCTACATGTATTTGTTAAATTTAAACAGCAAAACCTTCTGGTCGTACTTTAACCTTGACGATGACCCAATTAAGTTTTTGTCAAAAATAACCCATACTCATTGACACAAGACATGGCAAAGACAATAAACATCTCATACATGCATTACAACGCATCCTAGCGCAGCTGGATATGCAATGTCGGGCAATATATCGGTTCCTCATATGTTAACAGAAAATAATTTATTGGGCCCCATCTATATATCCCACGTAAAACGAAATATGAACGACCCCTTTTTAAAAGGAATAATAGCTGTGGATAAAAGTAAGTCTTTCAAAACAATGTTCAAATAGGAAATACAGGGGTAAACGCAGCGACCCACCATTATCAACCCCAAAAGCGGATTACATCCCAAGAAGGTAATGTTGAACATTTGGTGGTATTGGAAGAGGGTGCTTTTTATTTATTATCTTCTTCCGCCTCACCAAACCGTTAATGCTAGTATGTAGTGCATTGCCCACAATGGAAGCCAAAAGGGATAAACATTGGCTACGATACCAGGAGAACGGTCGCCCCTACGTGTCTTAGTAGACGGGCCAGAAATTGTTGGAGCTTCACTGGTATGTCCTGTCTATTCCTACTGTCTTCACCTTTCATTGCCCCTTCAGTTTTTTTCATTCTGGGCTCTGCAAAACTATATTAATGATGAAAACTTAACTACAGGACTGCAGAAACCACATTGAGGAATTCATCTCTCAAAAAAGTGAGAAGTTTTGGGAAGATAGAATTACCAAACTAAACAAAAAAATGGCAACAGTTAGTGTAACAGAACGGTTCATATATCGTCGATGAAATTTGCTTACAAGTTCCTGAAATTGTCGGTGAATTTACTGTCAAAAAGGTTACTAACTTATTTTATCACGTCAATTATGTTGAAATTTGATTTTACTTTCTTTGAAATTGTAAAAAAGCAGCGACTTCTCAAAAATCATAAATTTTATTTTAATAATCAAAAAATATTTTCATAATGTTTTGTCATGTTTTAGGAAGTTTTTGTTTTACCATTAACGAAAGATTCTTTTGTCCTAACACAAACTGTAGATTAAGAATGAGAAAGCAACTGGCTACTGTAGGTCGTATTTCAGGGGCAGTAGTAAAAGTTTATTACAACTGAAATAGCTTTAAAAATGTACCCTTGTGAGTTAGAAGACTCTATAATTCAAGGTGTATAGAAATTGTTTCTCGCTTTCTCAACCCCCTGAACCGGGGTTGACTTAGGGGATGCGGGGAGAGCAAGACGAAGGCGCCTTTGGAATTACATTCCGTGGATTCCGTTCACGTTCAAAGAGTAAATCCAGGCGGAGCCGATTCCAGGGTGGGAGCCCCGTTGCTATACCCTTGGTTTCCACCCTCTCCTGGAGCAGTAAAAAATAATTCACCGTAGACCACGGAGCCACACTAAATCCCGAGGAAAGGAATTAAACGTTTAGTATGTAAGGGTAGATTCAGACGTTCTACGTGACGGAGACCGGGGTTCACATGGATACGTGATCCGGAGCCTTTCCTCTTTTCTAAGATTTCCTCTTTTCTTTTTGTCGGGCTTCTCTTTTATCAAAGGCGCATTCGTTTCGCCTTAACGGCGTCTACGTGCCATGGAAATCCTCGGTTGGCAACGATAAGACAATGTTCCAAACGGGCC